AGCCCACACTAGGTTCTAAAAGCCCTTTTTTCCTCCAACAAACAGTTCTCTAGCAGTCACAACTCTCAACTTTTGTTTAAAAAAGGTTGTTCTATTTTCAAAGAGCCTTAGAGAACCTTAAGTAGACAGATTAGGGTTTGGGAATTGGGGATTTTCGAAACCTGGTGAATTGGGACTAGGGTTTTCGAAACTTGGTCCAATTTTGAAGTTTAAAATGCATATCTGACTGAAATAATCGATTATCTTGAGTGTTAATCGATTATTACATAGCCAAAATCAATAGGAACTCATAACCACGCCAGTTAATCGATTATTTAGGCTGTTAATCGATTAACAGACTTGTTAATCATTTATTTCAGCTGTTAATTGATTATTCCAGAGAGCTGATACAAAAAATGGTTTTTCTCTCTGTAATAATCGATTATTTAACCTTTTAATCGATTAAACCAGTGTGTTTTTTATAAAAATGAGTTTTTGAAGCTTCTAAAGAGTAGACTATGTGCTGACTATCTTAGACTCTAATATTACAGACTCAAAATCATCAAAACATAGTTATTACACAAGAATACAAGTTTTTAACTCTCTAAGTCCTTGAATCATCATCAAAATTAACAAGCTTCATGTCCATGTAAGTTCAACATTCATGTCCTTGTATGTTTCAACATTCAGTAAATAAAGAGTAACTCTTTACTAAATATATTTAGTAACTCTTCAGTAAATAAAGAGTAACTATTCAGTAAATATCTTTAGTAACTCTTCAGTAAACAAAGACTAACTCTTCAGTAAATAAAGAGTCTTCAGTAAATAAAGACTAACTCTTCAGTAAATAAAAAGTCTTTAGTAAATAAAGAGTAACTCTTTAGTAAATAAAGATTAACTCTTTAGTAAATATATTCAGTAACTGTTCAGTAAATAAAAATTAACTCTTTAGTAAACATCTTTAGTAACTCTTCGATAAATAAAGAGTAACTCATCAGTAAATAAAGAGTAACTCTTCATTAAATAAAGAGTATTGCAGTTTTCCGTTTCGACACCTAGGGACGTTACGAACGTTAATGCGAGCGGTTGCGATAAGATGGTTTAGACTCATTTTTTTGTAAAAAATGTGATCATCGCTTTCTAGGTGCTCATCAACTGAACTAACCTTTAAGAAAAGCAATGTTTTCGTAAAAGAGGGTTCTATGTGTTGCCACCGTCCGTTCCAACATCTCGGAGCATCTCGAACGTTTATGCGAGCGGTTGTGATATGATGATTTAGACTCACGTTTTTGTAAAAATATGATCATTGCTTCCGAGGTGCTCAACAACTGAACTAACCTCTAATAAAAACAAGATTTTTGTAAAAAGGGTTCTATGGAGTCGCCACCAATATTTATACCCTAAACATTGGAAAAGGATAAAAAAAAACATTGATTTTAAGAAAAACCAAACTTGGTCATTATAACCAGAGTTAGGTAAGGAAGTTAGTTACGTATGAGGAAGGTATTAACACTCCTACAACGCCCCTTTCAGGTTCCCTATGACGGATTAATTCATAAAATAAAGATTAAGAGAAATTACGCTATTACCCTATTTTATTCTACACTATTAAAATGACTATCTACATGATCCTATTTTCTATTACATATAGGAAAATAATAAATAAAGCAATAAAAGAAAAGAGTAGTGAAAAGAACCTCCGAAACAAGCTTTTATAGAAAATATTCAACTCTGAGGATGCTTTTTGGCTATCTTCCCGCACTACAGGGACTCTCCTCTCCCAAATACAAGAAAAATAACTTTAAACTATAGAATGTTAGATATCTCAAAAGAGACTTCCTTAACCGATTGTTACCTTATAGGCAATCGGAAAGATCATTCAAGAAGTAGAAGAGTAGAGAGAAGTGAAGGTGTGTGAAAAAGCTGCAAATGAGGCTCATATTTATAGTTTCTCGCTACTAGGACCCTGGGACAGCCGTTTCACCCTCGGAAAGGTGGGACGGTCGTCTCAAAGAGAAAATTTAGCTGGGACGCGCGTCTGGCCCTTGGGACGCGCATCTCAGTCACTTGGGACTGATTAGAGTTTCAAAATGAATAATAATATTATAACTACTGTTTTGAAATTAGAATGGATTGACCTGGTTCAACAGTCCTAACTTGGAACCCGTATATTATTTCTAAATAACCAAATTTTAATTAAACCAGGACAAAATTAGAAAATCGATACAAAGCCGGTAAAATTGAAAAAAAAAATCAACTGAGTTTTTAGGTCGAATCAATTTTTGATAAAAAAAAAATTAAGATCAAAATTTTTTTAATATAATTTTTTTATAAAAAATATAATATATTTTAGTTTTTTTATCTCATATTAGTCACATTCAATTTTAAATAATAGTCATTTTATTATATTTTATCTTATTTTAATTATTATCCATTTTCCACTCTTTAATATATTTTGTATATGTAATTTTCATTTTAATTTATGGTGACCATGATAGTAATATTTTTTTTTATAAAGAAATATTGTTAATAATGAATTTATTATATATTTATTATATTATAAAAATATTATTTTATTAAACTCATTTAAACTTTGATTGAATCTTGAATTCATGTCTTTTCTGTTTTAAAAATATTGATCATAATAAATATAAGGTTGAGATATTTCTCTTGGTAAATAAATATTGACATTAATATTCTTAAATAATGATGTATTTAAATTATTTTTAAAACCTTTTATAACTTCTAAATAGAGATAAAATAAAAATGATTTTAATAAAATAAGGAGATAAGAAAAATAAATAACATAAATATTTGTTTTTCTATTTAAAATTCAACTTAAACAAAATTTTATATATATATATATATATATATATATATTTTATTAAATATGTAAACCCTTTGTTTAATACTTATATCAAGAGTTCATAATAATTATTAATAATTTTTTATCTAATTTTTATAAATTTAACATTTCTAATTTTTATAAATTTAACATTTCATGACTCAAATTAATATCACAATAATACATTAAATTCATATTAGTATGTTTTAATAATGATTATTTTTAGTTCCTACAAAAACTTACTCAATTTAGACGTTTTCCGCACTTTAAAACTTTTAAGTATTCCATGTATTAACTACGTATTTAAAATAGAAGAGTGTGATGAAATATTTTAATAATTATTTAACTTTATAATATCTACGCCATAGTATTTTTTTCTTTTATATAATATTTGGAGGTACTTAAATAAAATATAATTTTAAGGACAGGATTTTACAAATGCGAAATTTATACAGCTGCTTTTATTTATATATATATATATATATATATATATATATATATATATATATATATATATATATATATATATATATATATATATATATATATATATATATATATATATATATATATATATATAAGCTAAGTTTACCTGGTTTCCCATCTATCTCTAATTTATAAAAAATGAGGATATCGTAATCAAATAACCTATAAATCCTGTATATAAAAATGGATTGATGAATTAATAGGTTTATCCGTCAATATATTTTTTCAAATCATTTTTAATTATATAAATAATTTTTAAATTTTATTTATAATCAATATTTTTATTAGATAAATTAAAATTTATTATATATATAAATATATATATATATATATATATATATTAAAATGCTTAATAATAATAAATAATTTAAATTTAATTAATTAATATTTATAATTTAAATTATAATATTATAATATATTTATATTTTAACGTATAAATATTTTTTAAAATTAGTCGATAAATCAATCTATCTTATCCTTAACTTATATATTAGTGGATTAGACGAAATAGATCAAAATATGTTAATTGATTAAAATTATTAATCCGTTCCATTTGGTTCAGGATCTTTAGATTTAACCCATTGAAAAGTTTTTTTAATAAATTACACTCATTACTTTAAATTTCATAAAATTATACAAATGATTTTCTAGGTTACATTTATATTCCTTAATTATTTACATGTAATTGTACTTATTTAATTTTATTTATTTTAGATTTTCAAAAAGTTTTAGAAATTAATTTAAAAAAATATATTTTAAAATAAATTAAAAAAATTATTTAACAAAATTACAACGAATCTTCATAATAAATATTAAAAAATAATTTTGATAATTTTAAAATGATCAAATGAATTATTTGATATAACTATTGAAGAAAACATTAATAAAAAATATTTTAATTTTAATCTTTTAGTTTTCAAAAAGAAAAAAAAATTAAATTTATTTTTACAAAATGGTCATTAAACAAATATTATAGGTTGTAAAATTTAAAAAACTGAAAAATATCTTTGAAAAATATTAATTTTTTTTTATTTTCTAAAATTTTGGAATATTTTATTTATGAATGAAGTTCTTCAAATAATTAAAAACTTTTTATGGAGTTGATCGAAAAATTCATTTTACAATAATAAATTTTATTATTAAATTCTATAATCTGAATTATACATACAAAATTCTTATTTCATGATGTGAAAAAAATAAACATTTTTTACAAAGCGTAAGACTTTTAGTTTTTATAGTTTAATTATGATCTTCGTTTTTAAAATTTAGAGTGATTTTGATTTTAATATTTTAAATAAAAAAAGTCTTTCTCAATTTCTTTAAATTAAAAAAAATTATATGATTTTAGTTTTTAATAGAATATTAAAATGAATTTTTAAGATTATTTTTATTCTTTTAAATTTAGTTTATGAGAATTATAGTTTTATTTTATTAATTTTGACATATTAGAATAATCCTTTTTAATTTAAGGGACTAAATAATTTTTTATCTAAATTTTGGAATTAAAAAAATATCTAAATCTTTATGATTTGATTATGATAATAAAAAAAATTATGAAAGTATAAACAACAAAAGTATGGAAAATGAATCCGACCCGGCCCATTATCGCTCCTTTGCATCGTTGAAATTACAACAACCAGACGAAGAACCCTTCTAAAAACCTGCGGCAAAAAGAACCAACCAACCCACGATGTCGCCGAGCTTCGTCTTCGACCCTCCCAGCGACGAAGAAGTCGAACTCTCCGAACGAGAAGAGGAAGAAGAAGACGAAGAAGAACCAGAAGAAGTTGAGTCAGGATCAGGTTCTGAGACAGAAGAAGAAGAAGGGCACAAAGAAGCGCGGGTTTCGAAGAAGAAAACGCAGTCTCCATGGGACTTCGCTAAATACACGGAATCAGTTGCTGAGGAACACGCTCGCAGGAGCACAACCTCAGTGGACGAGAAAATCTCCAAAGCACTCCAACAACGTTCCACGCCGCTCGTTGCTGAGCTTGACCACAGCTCCGAGTCCGAACCTGATGAACAAGTAATTGTTGGGTTTTCGTTTTTTATTTGTGTGCATTCGTATACCCTTTTGGGTATTTATCATACACGTTAGGAAAAATGTATGTGTGTGTGTGTTTTTGTTGCGGAGGCTTGTGAAAAAGAAGTGTTTCACTGTTTCAGAAGTTGGTTTTCTTTAGTAGTGATAAGTAATTATTGGGGTTTCGTTTTTTTATTTTTTTTGTATTCATATACCCTTCTGGGTCTCGTACACTATTGGAGTTTTTTTTTCTCTTTGGTGGAGAGGATTGTAGAAGTAGTGCCTCTCTGTTTCAGAAGATGATTTTATTTAGGATTTGGAAGCATTTGTTTGCTTCAAATGTTTTCTTTTGTTAGGTATTTGTTGTTGGGATTATTTTGGGGATGGAGGAGGGGTCTGTTCGATTTGTACAGTTCCAGGGGTTGAAAAATAGTGCTTGTTTGTTTAAAAAATGCTTATTTATATATTGGGTTTGTTTAGGAAGATTGTAGAATGACTGCTCATTTGTTTCATGAGTAGTGCTAGCAAGATGAAATGCAAAATACACTCTGTTGTTGGTTAAATTTATTGGAAGCCATAAGATCATGAGTTGAGGTGTTTTAAATGAGTGAGACTCGTACAATTTGCGCTTTCCAAGATATTTAAGCTAATAAATCTGTTTTAAAATAGGAATTAGAGAGAGTGTTTCTAGCATTTATCGTTTCAGGGTTTGCTTTCTGATTCATGATAGGAAATAGTGCTTAGCTGTTTCAAGAATTGATTTAGTTTTTTTAAATTTGTTGGGTTTGTTTAGGAAGATTATAGACCCGATGAAGAAGAAGAAGAAGAGGGTAATGATGGTGATAGCAAGTCCTTTTTTGCTCCTTCTGATGGAGCCTCTTTCCACGCTGACTCCTTCTTGCAGCTTAATTTGTCTCGTCCTTTGCTCCGGGCTTGTGAGGCCCTGGGATATGCTAAACCAACGCCAATTCAGGTTCTTATTATTGGCTTTGTTGATTTTTTATTTTAATTCACACCATTAATGGTTGTTTAATCAAATGCTATTTAGAACACATTACCTTGAATTATTTGCCTAGCTTTATCTTTTGAGCTTAGCAGTACTGGAATTAGTTATGTGATTTCATGCTGCATAGGACATTTTGTGCTGACAATTTTACTTTGTTTTTGGGGTTTTGAATTTTGATGACAGGCAGCATGTATTCCATTGGCATTGTCTGGTCGTGATATATGTGGTAGTGCCATTACCGGGTCAGGAAAGGTAATCTCTGATACTTATCTTAGGGTGTTTGTAGTGGTTTTGGTGCATGAGTTTTTGTACAATGGTGTTTCTTATAATGCCATTTGTTATCCTGCTATTGTGTTTCCATGCAGACAGCTGCGTTTGCACTACCTACATTGGAGAGGTTGTTGTTCCGTCCAAAACGAATGCGAGCAATAAGGGTCCTCATTCTTACTCCAACCAGAGAGTTGGCAGTCCAGTAAGTGTTCTTCTTCTAATTATTCTGATTTTTACTTCAGGATCATATTTATTATGTAATAACATTCCAAATATATTGTTCTTGGAGAGCAAATGGCCTATAGATACTAAATGTAATATGAATGTTCTTTCTCTTTTATTTGGTTGAGTATGATGTGGGCCTACTGGTATGTATGGCTTGGCATGCACGTTCTTCATTGTCACACTTGAAAATGCTTGAACCAATGTGATTCATTGAGTATATTCATGGTTTAGTCCATGGTTGCATTGGATGGATCTAGTTTTTGCAATATTTAATGCTTTTTTAATGTATTTGAATTAATGAGACTTTTTTTTTTTTTTGCTTTAAATATGAGTACAAGCTTGTTGATTATCAAATTTAAATTAGGCTCCATTTAAATCTATGATATATTTATGAATATACATTGTATTCATATTTTTAATTCTGAAAATTAAGCACTTCCAGTGAAAGGCTGTAGATTACGATTTTGAAAGCACTCTTTTTATGATGATTTATGTAAATTGCTTTCCAAATATACTTATATTTATTTTTCTTTTACAGAGTTCACAGTATGATAGAGAAGCTTGCTCAGTTTACTGATATAAGGTGTTGCCTGGTTGTTGGGGGTCTGTCAACAAAGGTTTGACACTATTTCAACTTCCTTACAGCTTAATTTATAAGATTTGCTGGTAATTCAGAATAGAATTATGTACCTTTTGTGATGCTTTCAGTGTGCAGTCAGCTGTTTCAGTCATGTCCATGTGAATTTTTTTCTTTGCCTTCTTTCTTTTATACAAACTGATAAATGTCGGCTTTTATCACAATACATTTCCTGTCTGTTTGACAGTTAATACATAATAATCAGTTGTTGAGTTTCAAGACATGAATTTTCTTTCCTAGTAGTTGTGAATTTAAATTTGGCATGTTTGAACACTGTATATGATATGATCTCTGTTTGATCATATGAATTGCTCCAAGACAGAATTTTGTTAAAAAAGACCTTTTCTCATGGCTAACTAGATTAATGAGCCTTTTGAAGAAATATTTCAAATTAATTAGCTGGGAGACTTGAAATAGAAAAAAGAAAATAAAGAACTGATTTTGAGAGCCTGAAATCATCTTCTTGTGTTCTCTTATTTATAGGAGATAAAAATACAGATTCAGAGATACAATTAATAGAGAGACATGATTAATCCTAGAGAAGATAAACAGATGCATTCTAGGAACTAGATCTACAACTAATCTCATAAATATCCAACAAGATACATTTAATCTAATAAATACTTCAACACTCCCCCTCAAGCTGGAGCATACAAATTGAATGTACCAAGCTTGGAACAAATGAATTCCATTCGAGGTCCTCTCAAAGATTTTGTTAATGCATTTGCAAGCTGCTCATTGGAACCAACAAACTCAGTACAAATTTCTTTAGTCAACAATTTCTCCCGAATAAAATGACAGTCAATCTCAATATGCTTGGTCCTCTCATGAAATACTGGGTTGGAAGCAATGTGAAGAGCAGCTTGATTATCACAATACATCTTCATAGATTGAATCTCACAGAAGTTCAATTCTTGCAAGAATTGTTTTACCCAAACAAGTTCACAAGTAAGAGACGCCATTGCCCTATATTCAGCTTCAGCAGAGGATCGGGCAACAACGTTTTGCTTTTTGCTTTTCCATGAAATGATATTTCCTTCAATGAAAACACAATAGCCTGTAGTGGAACGCCTATCCATAGGAGATCCGGCCCAGTCAGCATCACATCACCCAAAAATTTGGGTATTTCCCTTGTCTTCATATAATAATCCTTGTCCTGGAGCTTTTTTAATGTATCTTAAGATTCGAATGATAGCATTCCAATGATCCACACAAGGAGCTTGCATAAATTGGCTGACAACACCAACTGCAAAAGACAAATCAGGTCTAGTAATCGTCAAATAAATAAGTTTCCCAACCAGTCTTCTATATCTTTCTGGGTCAGAGAAAACTTCACCCTGTCCTTCCATTAACTTCAAATTTGGATCCATAGGACTGTCCACAGGTTTGCAATCAATCATACCTGTCTCTTTTAGAATATCTAGAGTATACTTCCTTTGAGAGATGACAATACCTTCTCTTGATTGAGCTACTTCAATACCCAAGAAATATTTTAGATTTCCAAGATCCTTGGTCTGAAAATGACTACTCAAGTGCTCTTTTAACTGAGATATTTTAGCAGCATCATTCCCTGTGATGACAATATCATCAACGTACACAATTAAATAAACATGTTTGCCAGGGGCAGTGTGACAATAAAACACTCGAATGATCCGCTTCACTCGCGTTTTAATCCAAAAGCTTGAACAATAGAGTTGAATTTTCCAAACCAAGCCCGTGGAGATTGTTTTAGGCCATAGAGGGATCGACGTAATTTACAAACCAAACCAGACTCCCCCTGAGCAACAAATCCAGGAGGTTGCTCCATGTAAACTTCTTCTTCTAAGTCACCGTGCAAAAAAGCATTTTTAATATCCAATTGATGAAGAGGCCAATGACGAATGGCGGCCATGGCAAGGAACAGGCAGACAGTGGTCATTTTGGCTACTGGGGAAAAAGTATCACAATAATCAAGTTCATATATTTGAGAATACCCTTTAGCCACTAACCTTGCTTTAAGACGATCAACCTGACCATTGGGCCCAACTTTAATAGCATAGATCCAACGACAACCAACTGTTTTCTTTCCGAAGGGAGAGGAACAAGCTCCCAAGTTTTGTCTGTGATCAAGAGCCCGCATTTCAGAAATCATGGCTTGTCGCCATCCAGGATGATCAAGCGCTTCGACCACATTTTTGGGAATTGTAATAGAGGAGACAGAGGAAATAAAAGAACAATAGGAAGGAGACAATCTATGATAACTAAGAAAATTGTAAATGGGATGAGGATTACGAGTAGAACGAGTACCTTTGCGAATGGCAATGGGCCAATTGGAATCATCGTTATCAGGAGTCGTGGTATTAGAGGATGATGGTGAAGGACCTGTTATGGATGGCTCATCTTGGGGAATGGGATTGTTCACCTGGTTCCTGCGTTGATAGGTGATGATAGGCATGGGATGCGGGATTGTAGAGTATTTTGGTCGAGAAATAGGAGGTACAACTGATTCAACTAAGGGAACAGGAAGCACATTTTGGACAGAATCAATATCCTGCATAGAATAAGGGAAGAAGGATGATGATTCAAAAAAGGTGACATTAGCAGACATGTAGTACCTCTTGGTTTCAGGAGAATAACACCGATATCCTTTTTGAAGACGAGAATACCCCAAGAAGACACATTTGATAGCTCTAGGTAAGAGTTTATCTAAGCCAGGAGACATGTCATGAACAAAACATATACATCCAAATACCCTAGGAGAAACATGAAAAATTGGTTCCTTTGGAAATAGAATAGAGTGTGGAACTTTATTATCAAGAGAAGAAGATGGCATTCTATTAATGAGAAAGCATGCAGTTAGAATAGCATCTCCCCAATGATGAATAGGCATATTGGCACCCAGCAATAAGGTACGAGCAGTTTCAACCAAATGTCTATTTTTTCGTTCTGCTATACCATTTTGCTGTGGTGTGTGAGGACATGTGGACTGAGAATTTGGGACATTAGAAAAATCATTAGAAAAGTACTCTTTGGCATTATCACTTCGTAAAACTTTGATTACTTTTCCAAATTGAGTTTTGATTTCATTAAGGAAAGACTTAAAGATAGGCAATAGTTCAGAACGATCTTTCATAAGATAAACCCAAGTACATCTAGAAAACCCATCAATAAAAGTAACAAAATATCTAAAACCAAAAGATGAAACACGACTAGGTCCCCATATATCTGAATGAACAATACTAAAAGCAGAATCACATCTAGATTCAGAATGATTTGGAAAGGATGACCGGGTATGTTTCCCTAGTTGACAGGATTCACATTCAAGAGTTTGAAGGTTCTGAAGTTCAGGAACCATTTTTTTCAATTTTGCTAAATGAGGATGCCCTAATCGCTCATGTAACAGTTTTGGGGATAAAGACGCAACACAAGATACAGATGACTTAGTCCTAAGGTAGTATAAGCCTCCAGATTCATGTCCTTCTCCAATCGATCGACCCGTACCACGTTCCTGGATAACAAAACAATTGGCATTAAAAGTTACTCGAGCAATTCAATGATTTGGTTAATTGGCTTACGTAAACAAGACTCGAATGGAAAAGAAGGAACACAAAGAACATTTTGAAGGTTTAAAGAAGAAGAGATGGATACTTGACCAATTCCTTTAGAGGCTACTTTAGATCCATTAGCTAAAGATATGAGATGGGATGTTTTAGGAAATGAAAGAGAGGAAAATAAAGAGGTATTACCGGACATGTGGTCGAAGCACTCGAGTCAATAATCCATGGATTTTGACTTTCCACAGATTGCGAAATGCAAGCGGTTGACGAATTTGGTGTTGTAGATGCTTGAGCCAAATTGGTTGATTTCATCCTTAAATATTCTTGATACTCTTCATGAGAGAACTTGGGCTCATCAACTTTAGATTTTGAGGTATTAGCTGCCTTATCAGGAAAGCCGTGAAGAGCAAAGCAATTTTCCTTAGTATGTCCCATTCTTTTGCAATGAGAGCACTGAGGACGTCCTTTCCCACCACGTCCTCTAGAGCTGTGATTACCTCTTCCACGAGCAGAAATCATGGCGGAAGAATCAGCAAGTTCCTGACTGTTTTTGCTTTTGATAGAAGGAACACGAAGTAGCCTTGTGATTAAACTCTCCGTAGAAGGAACTTCTTCTCCAGTTAGAATCTGGTCTCTAACATGATTAAACTCTAGATTCATAGCCCTAAGAATCATTACCATATAGAATTTATCCAGCTTCGTCTTCCTTTCTTCTAATGATTCTGCCTCCAGGAACATTTTTAATTCTTCAACAGCTGACTGGGCTTCAGCAACAAAGGACATCATGGAATTATCCTCTTGCTTAAGGGAGGCTAGTCTATTAGCAGAATCATAAAGTCGTTGAATATCGTTAGCAAAGATATTTTGAGCCTTTTTCCAAAAAGAATTACATGTCTTGAAGGCTCGAAGAGTGCTCAAAATATGTGGTTCAACAGATTGCCATAATAGTGCACAAAGTTGATAATCCAGTTTCTTCCATTGAGGAGCCTGGTCTGCTGGTACAGTACTTCCATCTTCTTCTAGATGATCATGAACTCCTTGACCTAGAAACCAAAGTTCAACAGAGGAAGCCCAAGACAAATAATTTTTCCCATTTAATTTTTCTGTGGTTATAGTTGGAGTCCTAGAAAAAGATACAGACACAGATCCTGACATTTTCCAGGAAACGAGAAGGGACCAGCGTGCTGTCAGAGAGAGGACCGAGAGAGGCAGAGAGAAAAACGCAGACCCACCACGTTTTGTGACCGAGAACACAAAACAAAGTGCAGATCTGGCACCAGGGCGACGAGGCGAGCCGGATAGAGGTGGCTTGGAGCAAAACAGCCACCGAGAGGGCGGCGCGTGAGGCCCACACGCGGAGGAAGCCGCAGACGAGGGTGGCGTGTGGCGGCGCGTGAGGCAGAGATAGAGGAAGCGAACACTGGGGTTGGGTTGCGCTCCTTGAGGCTAGCCAAACCCAAGTATCAGAGAGGAAAAAGGCGCCGGAGAAGACAACACCGGCGGCGAACGGCGGCGGACGGCGGCGAACGGCGGCGGACGGCGGCGAACGGCGATTAATGCCAGAAAAAAAAACAGAGACAGGCAGAGCGGGATGAACCCGCTCTGATACCAACTTGAAATAGAAAAAAGAAAATAAAGAACTGATTTTGAGAGCCTGAAATCATCTTCTTGTGTTCTCTTATTTATAGGAGATAAAAATACAGATTCAGAGATACAATTAATAGAGAGACATGATTAATCCTAGAGAAGATAAACAGATGCATTCTAGGAACTAGATCTACAACTAATTCATAAATATCCAACAAGATACATTTAATCTAATAAATACTTCAACAAATATAAAGGATTATTATACTTGATAAACAAAAAAAATCCTTGATTTTTTTCATAATCTGTGGTTTGCTCATTTTTCACCAAACATTATCTTGTTGATAATATGTCATATGGTTAGATATTTTTTATAAATGAGTTGATGTAATGTGACTTTTATAGCATTAAAATTTTCACATTTGTCTAGTTGATTGGGGACACAGATTATCTCCTTCGCTATTTATGTTTTAAAAGTGGTATTTTCTCATACTAGGTGCAAGAGGCTGCTTTGAGAACAATGCCAGACATTGTTGTGGCTACTCCTGGACGCATGATTGACCATTTACGCAATGCTATGTCTGTGGATTTGGATGATCTTGCTGTTCTAATACTTGACGAGGCAGATCGTCTTTTGGAGCTTGGATTTAGTGCTGAAATTCAAGAACTTGTAAGTTTTAGCTTCCATATAATGCAAGAACCGTTACTGTTAAATATGCTGTTTTACAATTTATCCTGATTTCAGTTTTTTTAATAAAGGTGTTAAAAAAGTTTGATTGTTTAATGTTTAACAGGTTCGCATGTGTCCCAAGAAAAGGCAGACTATGTTGTTTTCAGCAACAATGACTGAGGAGGTTGATGAACTTATCAAACTTTCCCTGTCAAAGCCCCTGCGTCTTTCTGCTGACCCATCTACCAAACGGCCAGCAACCTTGACTGAGGAGTAATTCTTTATAATTTCTCTTTCACTTTATATTTTCTAATGTCATCATCTTCTCCTGTTTTGTATGCCTTGATAGTCAGCTAAATGTTGTATGATAGTGCTAAATGATACGTTATTATAGAAGAAAATTCATTTAAGTAATACTTCTTCAATGTTCTCTGTTGTTTGCAATGCTTTTAATGGAACGGACATGTAATGGTTTTTTGAACTTTAAAAACAAATGAAGAAGAGCATGTTTAGAGTATTTTTATCCATAAAAGTTAATTATGCAAAACTTTTATGTTAAAATATTTGGGGTTTTCCAGGTTTTTGCATCTATTAAGCTTTGCCAACTATTGTTTTTCTTTTCCAGAGTTGTTAGAATACGAAGAATGCGTGAAGTAAACCAGGAAGCTGTTCTTCTTGCAATGTGCTCGAAAACTTTTGCTTCCAAAGTCATCATCTTCAGGTTTCATTTACAATATACTATGCTTATTCATGTAGTATGTGGTTGTATTTCATGAATTGTTAATGAATTCTCTTGTATAGATATTTGATGTACTGATTGGCAACAAGTAGGAGGATGATTTTACTATGACTCCAAGTGATCATATTATTATGCCTCTTATTCTAGCAGTTGGTCTTCATTTGTGCTTTATGAGTATTATTTCCTTTCTGTCACTGTTCTGCAGCTTCTAACTAACTGCTTAATCTATCATTTTTATCTGCAGTGGAACAAAGCAAGCTGCACATAGATTAAAGATTATATTTGGGTTAAGTGGATTAAAAGCTGCTGAGCTTCATGGAAATCTTACCCAAGCCCAGCGCCTGGAAGTAAGTTGATAATATTTTTTGTGTATTTCTTGTATTATGGATCTTTGTTTGTCTTTATAGTTATGTTACTATCACATTTTTGGAGCACTAAAAATGATGTTCATTTGGAAGTCATTTGTTCATGTTGAAATATTTTGTGGTTGTGACAAGATTTACTCACTTCTGATTATCTATTTAGGCTTTGGAACAGTTTAGGAAGCAGCAAGTTGATTTTTTGGTTGCAACAGATGTGGCTGCCCGTGTAAGAGTCTATCCTTGATGTTGATTTCTTCTTTACTTTGAATATTATTAATTGTATTGTTATATCAAACGCCCCCCTTTTATCTATTATCCTGAAACTCAGGATAAGGATAGTAAAGCTGTGGTCACATTAGGTGAACATATCGATTATAAAATATGTAGCTTATTATTTTTTTGGCATTTTAGAATTTGGATATAGATCTGACACTGTTGCCTATGATTTTATTTGTAGGGCCTTGACATTATTGGTGTTCAAACAGTTATCAACTTTGCATGTCCACGTGATCTTACTAGGTATAATATATGATCCATATTGTTGGTAACTGGTAATTGTGCTTGACATATTGCAGCTTTCCTGTACATCCTGTAGTTTTTGTCACTTCCCTTTATTGTTACTTAAGTTTCAAATTATCATACATGAAAAATTTGTTGATCTCACCCTAAACATTATCTAATTCTCTCCTTGGTTTATCAATATTTCTTGTCTCCAAAGCTATGTTCATCGAGTGGGTCGTACTGCAAGAGCTGGACGGGAAGGATATGCTGTCACTTTTGTGACTGACAATGACCGATCACTTTTAAAAGCCATTGTAAGTACCATCTGAAGACTTGCTTTTTTTTTTTTTATCAATAAATGTTTATTATTTTTCCCAACTATCAAGTTTGACATTTCATTAGATAGTTTCTAGATCAAACATTTTAATAACATGAAGCCCAGATATTTTTATTGTTTTTCAAGGTTGCCGTATTCTACTTGTAATTTGAATTTTTGTTGAAAACTTTATTTTTTATCTGTTAAGGTAGAAAACACGCAAAATGGAAAAGGAAAAAAATTAAGTTATGCTTTAAATGAGCCATTTATAATCATTCCTGCACCTGTTGATTTTCAATTAATTAGGCCAAGAGGGCTGGTTCAAAGTTGAAAAGCCGCATTGTTGCCGAGCAATCTATACTTAGGTGGTCTCATATTATTGAGCAAATGGAGGATCAAATTAATGAAGTTCTTCAAGAAGAGAGGTTTTGATTATACTATTTGATTGTCAAGGCTTCATTCTTCTTTATTTCCCAGTTCCTTTTTACTGGTAATTTACTGTACTTATATTTTATATTTATTCAGAGAAGAAAGAGTCCTAAGGAAAGCTGAAATGGAGGCCACGAAGGTATTAATAAGTTGTCTTGTTTTACTTGCCTTCAATATTGTTATGCCTTGGATAACTAAAATGTAATTATGACCAGTTTTTGTGTTCTCTCGTCTTGCAATATATCATTTCCAGATAGCATCACTGGCAAAATTGTATGGTCTTAATATGATCATATTATATTGCTGTTTGGGAATCCTATATTGGTTATATTCATTTTCTCATCATTAACATTTCCCCTTTTCTAAAAGCATGCACTTATATGACATTTGCAGGCCGAAAACATGATTGCACATAGGGAAGAAATCTTTTCCCGTCCGAAAAGAACATGGTTTGTCACAGAGAAGGAGAAAAAGCTTGCTGCAAAAGCAGCCAAGGTAAATTATCCTCTCATCTTCCTGAAATAGTCTGTCAAATTACTGGGATTTGTTTCCTATTTTACAGTGAACTGAGTGAGAATTCTAAATGCAATCTGATTAGATAAATTGTGTCTGGACAGTTTACATAATATATTTATACATCTCTGGATTTGAGCTTATTTTGAGGAAATAATCTCTCGCTCTGTGTCCCATTTGCAGTTTCTTAAGAAGCTTTGAAAATGGTTGTTATTTCTTCTGATAAAAGCTAAACCAAACATGCAATTAGTCTTTAGTATTAATAATGAGTAATTGGAGTGATTCAATCCTAATTACACAAATATACAAATCTTAATCAGTTCCTAAGATTGTTCCTAATTGGTTCTACCATATATACCTATGTTTCTGTAAATACCCAACAAGATACTCTAAGATTACGATGCACGTGAACAATGGTAGCTATTTGGTATATATTTAGTAGTGTGAAGGTGAGATGCCAGTCAAACTGATGATTGAATGACAAGTTCTTTTTATTTAAAATTCTCTTTCTTGGGTGAAATATTACCAGTTGTTGATAAGAAATACAATTGACTGTAACCAGGCATCTTCCTCCATAGAAAAGAACAAGAGTTCTGGGAAAGAGGTAATTAGTGCCGAACAAGCTGAAGACCTCAAAATGAAGGAAAAGAGGAAGCGCGAGCGCGAGGTAACAGGGTTCCCCAATTTTGTTTGTTTTTACATATAAAAACGTTCATATAGGTATGCATGTTTTCATTGCTATGTATTGACTTGATCATTATTTATTTGGTGTAGAAAAATTTGCCTAGAAAGAAGCGTAGAAAGTTGGAAGCAGCTAGAGAGATGTTGGAGGATGAGGAGCAGGATGGTGAACAAGTAGAGGTATGTACTCCTTGTCTTCCCTAGTAACATTCTCTATGCAGTGAAGGTTGCAATATACTCTTTGTTCATCTTGTTGCACTTACAGTAAATGATATGATTGTAGGACAAGAGGATGAATAAAAAAGAAAAAGGTGGAATGTCACTTGTTGATCTTGCTTACCGAAGGGCAAAAGCAGTGAAGGCTGTGAAGAAGGCATTAGATTCTGGCAAGATTGTGAAGAAGAGTCAAAAGAAACCTAGTAATGCTCCACGAAAAACTCCTTCAAGGACTGAAGAGATGAGGGATCTATTCCAGACTGACATGAAGGATAAAAAGCCAAAAAGAAGAGGTGTTGGAGGAGGAAAGAAGTCGAAGAGTTCATTCAAAAGCAAGTCAAGGTATTAATCATATATCTTGTCTCATCTCTGAAACTAGTAACTTTCTGAGCTTTTAAGCATCCAACAAATCATTGATCTCATCTTGATTGCATTGTTCATTGGCCCGGATTGTGACTAATGATATAGGCAATCATTTTTTTTTGGTTCATTGAGTTCATTACTTTTGCAGTGAATCAGATTTTTGTTGGCCCCTCTTATTAAATCATAGTTATTACATTGGTACCTTCATGCATTTCCAAATTTATTTTCCACTAGTTTGTGCAATGCCAATAAATTAATTCTCAATTCAAATCCCTTTTCAGGTACAAGCGCAAGTAGTCTGTGAAGCTAATAACCCTTGTCATAAACATGTGCATGGAAGGACCATAAACCTGCAACGTGTGTCCTTATTACTGACCAGACACAGTCAAATTATACCATATTTACTCCAATCATTGGAAGTGATTGATTATATGAGCTCCCACCTGTGAATTTCAATTGATGCATTTGGGTGGCCATGGTGAGTGGTGACTGGTGTGTCTAACCAATGTTGTGGGGTTATGGTAGCAGTAACTACTACCAATACTGTTTTTTTGTTCATTGTTTCACATTAGCTTTTTCTTCTCATCCCAAATAGTCAGCATAAGTTACAGATGTCCAATTTTGTAAAACTAGCATCAGATTGAGTTTTAAATGTTGCCAATACAAAATTTTGTTTCAGGTAACTCCTTAATTTTGTTGCTTCTGCTGTCCTTTTGTTAATGCACCATTAATGCAATGATGATAATAAGAGCATGTTGGTGTTGGATTGATTATTTCATTGTAAAGGTGAAATTTCTCCTGAATTTCTCACTGTTGTCAGTGGCTATTTTTAGGAAATTCATTCAGAAAAAAGAGGGTTAACAGTACTGCATGGTGGTGAAAGAATTAAAGTGGTTGTTACGAGTTATGCTTATTATTTAAGCACTAGATTAAAATAAAATTAAAAAATACGTAAAATTTTAAATTGTCAGATAGGATCATGTTAGGTCTAAAGAAATCAATAGTAAATGATTGAACACCAATTTACATAAAGATTTTGCACAGGATTTTACTCAGATTTGTCTGAGGAAATCTCATTTAGTTCTTCTTAATGGGCTTTTTGAACTGCTTGCTGCATTAGCCTAATTAATTCTTAGTTTCTACATTCGTTAAAAATACTAACTATATTTTATTAAATGCTTTTAATTACTTAGATACATAATTTTCCATAATGTGAAATTTTATTTTATAAATATTTTCTTTAGAAAAATACTGAGTACCTCATGACTTGATATGGTAGGTTCTAATGGGCTAAACAAAATTTGCAAAAAGATTGAACTCAACTCAGTTAAGCTTAATCAATTTTTATTACACTTTAAAATCAATTAATTCAACTAGTGAAAACACACTAAACGCCTTGTCACTTATTACATTCAAAATTAATTCCATTAAAATCAAATTTTCTTTACGTTGTAAAATATATAGATATTAAATTAATGTACTTTATAAGTTGTAGAAGAACTCAATATTAACTCTATATTATATTATTCTGATATTTTCAGTTATTCTTTCACAGAAAATCTTTATTTAAATTTCAGTTTGCTACGACGTGGAAACTATTTCTACTAAATTTAAATTATATTAATATACGAATTTAAACTGTTCAAATTAACTAAAATTTAGATTGAATCGATTCTGATAAAAACAAAATTAACATAATTTTTATATTTTTTATATTTTTTTATCTCACGTGAGTCTCATCAATTTTAAAAATTTAATTAATTTATTATATTTTTACGTATTTTCATGATCATTAAATATTTTACTCTGTATTATATTTTATATTTTTTTATTATATATATAAAATTATTTTTACTTTTAGCATGATATCAACTTTTATTGTTATATTATTAACTATTTTTTATTTATTAAAAATATTATTATTAATAAATTTATTATGTTATAAAAATATAATTTTATTAAACCTAGTTAAACTTCAATTAAATATTTAAATATTAAACCTATTTAGTACCATTGATGCTATAGCAAAATAACATAGTTGATATTAATAAAATCTTAAAGTGTGACATTTGTGTATAAATCACATACTTCAAATTGAAATGATGAAAATGTCTATCATTTTAAATGATGGTACTACCTTAAAAAAAAAAAAATATATATATATATATATATATATATATATATATATATATAAATCATTAAAAATCAATTTACAAAATTATAAACTTATAACTTTAATCACACAATCTAATTTTTGTTTATTTAATTTACAGTTTGAGCAAATAACGGACTAAGTTTCTAAATTTGTAAGATGATGTGAATTTAAGACTATGTTGTTATTAAGTTTTATATAATCATTTTATCATTAAGTTTTAATTTCAAAATGTTTAATATTTAGAACTCAATTTATATATTTTACACTTTTAAAGACTAAATCAGTACTCTACTTTACATACAATTTATAATTGTAATAGACTTAATTATTATTTTAGTGTCTGAAATTTAGGCTAATTTATATTTTGATTTTTTAAATTAAAAAAAATATTTTCTCACTTGATAAAATATAATATTGATCCCTAAATATTAAATTTAACCTATTAAAATGAATCCTTAAATTTGGTTTTAATTTGTCAATTTAGTGTTTAAAGACTAAAATTATATTTAATTAAATTCAAAAAATTAAAATATATTTTTTATTTGAGAGAAAAAAATATTTACCTAAATTTCAGATAATAAAAACATAATTAAGCCATTTTCCTATTTAAAAAATAATGTGATACTACTAAATATGATTTTGAAAATCATATGAAAATAGTTAGAATATGAACATTTGGTTTGAAAATTAACCCCGGGGCGGCTACACTGATTATTGTCAAACCAACTACAGTGGATCCGACAAACTCCAATGTAGAGAGACACACAAAAGTTTGTCTTTTGGATTTAGATATGATTTTGTCTCATTCTTTGTTTTGTTAGGGGGAAAAAATAACCATTTTGGCTGTAAACCATTTTGTCCTATTTTTGCCTATAAACCAAAGTTTCATTTTCTCAGATTCTATTCTGCAAAAAGATTAGCTTTCTCTTTTCCCCTTTTTTTATGTGAGAAAATCTTAGTTGGGTCAGTTTCAAAATTTCAAATTTGAAACTTGAGGAGCTGTGTTCAGGACTGCACTGTAATGCTTGTGAGTAAGATAGCTAACCTTGTTTCCACTCCCTTTAAACTTACTGATTTGCATCTGTAATGTATGGTTAGGTATGATCAAAGTAACAGTTTGATTAAATTTGATTAAATGTTAATTTTGTTAGTTTGTTACATTTTTGGATAATGTTGAGCTTTTACTATTTTGCTTGTGTCTACTCTTTCATATTGTCCAATTTAGTTGCTTGGTTGTGTTTTTGGAAGTGAAGTTGGTAACCTTCACTGGATTCTGCTAATGTAACCCTACGGGTTTAGTGGTTTTTAGTAGATTTGGTTCTGCAATCATCTAAGCCATTCTTGGTTAGTGATCTCTTTTCTTTACCTTTCGTCCTTTTTTTATGGAAAATTATCTCTGTTTCCCATGAAGCTTGTTTTGATAAACTTTTCGATAAGCACTTCTAGAGATAGAAAACAAGAAAAATAATGTGAAATAACATTCTCTATAACTAAAATTAAACAATGCATAAGCTAATTTATAAAATATCTCATATATAAGCTTCTCCAAAATCAGTTTTTTAACTTATGCATGAGATATATTAAACCTGTGGAGAAACTTATGTCTTTTTGTTGTTTTTATTTTCTTCTTCTATAAGTACTTACAGAGATCTTTACTTATACAGGACCATCGTCATAAATGCATGAAGAGTATTGTAGTTGGCATTCTCAAGCTGATATTATAAATTTATAATGTGTGGTTGGTGTCTCGTGGTTGAGAGAGGCCACATGATGTATCATGACAATGTGCATATGTTTTTCCCAATAAAGCATTCTTTATTTGCTTGCCCTACTCAATTCTGCTGTTTACAGAAAATGGATTTTCTTGTTTTGTGATTTGCATCTCAAGCAGACTTATCATTTGGATGCAGTGGTTGATGTGATGCTTTTCTAGAGTGAACCTGGTGACACAATATACCCTCTTCATTTACTTTTAATTGTGAATTGCTAAATGGTAACTACTTACTAATTATGATTTTCATATGCTATTTCCATGTATTGTTCACTCTGCTGGAAATGTTGATCTTTCAATGCTGAAATGGTATATGAAAACCTAGGATTTGTTGATTTGAATGCACAATTTACATGTATAACAGATTTCCCGGCAATATCCATCTCAAAAGGTTTGAACATTGGGGTGTTTGATTGGAGCTAAGAGGAGCATGGAAGGCACTAAGGGCGATGAAGTATCCATTACAGTAGGAACTACTGGAACAATCAGCTTATTGATGACAAAGGAATTGGATCAGATGTCTTGTGCTCCACACCAGGATCTATCATCAAAAAGTAAACCTCGAATTTCAGTTTCGAGTGGTAGTACTACGCCAAAACGACCACAACGAAGAAAATCATTTGAAGCCAGTAGCAGTGGCAGAAGTAGTAATGTTACAAACCATGTAAGCTCTGGGGTTGGCCCTATGACAAAACATAATGGCAAACATACCCATCAAATACCAATGCTTGGTTCCCATACCCTTCCATTGGATGCAAGTCCAGTTATGAAGACAAAGGATAAGAAGAAAAAATCTAAAATTGTTGAAGTTGTGGACATAAAGTGTGGTTATCCAGATAAAGCTTGGGCTACCCCTATCACAAATTCTCTCAAGAAGTTGGGTTTCTCAAAGCTCTCTGAGAGCATTACCTAAAGCTGAAATTTTATGTCAGACTTCAGGTTCTTGTAGCCGAAAGCAGAGGTTCCATTTGGTTTACTGTTGTCAAATACATCGACCACAGAACACATCCTTGGCAAGAGCTTGTTACTTCCTCGCTTTTTCTTTGTAGTTTCTACTCTGGATACAGTTGAGGGTCTGGAATCAGTGCTAACCGAGGAAGCCATGTTGATAGTTTGAGATTTGTTCTTCTGTGACCAGCCTTGGGAATTTAATTCAAGCCTGCTGAAGTACTCAATTTCTTGCCTTAGAAGGGACCCAACTGTGCCTCGGGTGCCTATTTCTACAGGTGGAAATTCAGCCATTTCTTTTGTGTTGCTTGTGGCAAGGATGGTGGGTCTGTGTATGCTTTATTTTGTTGGGGTCAAGGATTGTTGTATTGTTTTGATGAACTTTTTCACAAGCTCAGAGGCATTGTCTCTAGTTTCAAAAGCTCTCCACCATGTACTATTTATATGAACATATGGCATGTATTACGTATATAGTTGTAGAGTTAGTTAGTTGGTGACATGATATTGTCATTCCAGTCATGTGCTTGCAGTAAAACACTAGAGTTCCTAACTACTGTATTGTCCTTGTAATTTAGTTTCATCATGTCTTGGTGCGTGCTAATAACAAGTTAATTATTGAGACTACGGTCAATGGAGTTTGGAACAGATGAATTCACGTGAACCAAAAAAAATTGGATTGTCACTTTCATTCACTTTTGAGCAATCCGGTGTTACATTTTGGTGTTTTTAAATGATGGCACGGCAAAATAGAAGTCTAGATGGTTTTGTAAATAACTTTTTTATGAGTGATTTTCAGGAAGTGGTTAGTCAGGATGGTTTTTGTTTTGGTTGGTTGTATCCATCATATATTTAATATTTTATACTCAAGGATAATGCTGTAGTTTTTCTCAGACTAGGATTTTCAGTTTTCTGATTTCACTGTTTATAATATAAAAATTTTGTAAAATGGAGAGATGATTGAAGAATTTTTAGTAGGAAACCAAGTTGAGGGATTCATATTTTTTTTTCTCAGTAAAATTTACTCATTGCAACTTGCAACTGTAATCTATTAGTCCTTCACAAATCTGGTTTTGATACATTGTAGTTTGTTCTCTACATTGTGAAACCCATTTTTTTGGTTCCATATATTTTCTATATGATTTTGTTGTCACCCCAATTTTACACTACCCAAAAAATTGACTTCAAGTTTGATAAACAAATGCAATCTTCCATTCTGGGGATCCTCTTCCTGTATTTGTTTGTAGTGGACTCTCTCACTCACTCAGTCACGGGTGCTCCATTAATTTTATGGACTTCTTGGACGAATATTCCTTTAACAAGATAGAAAACAAAGATTGGTAACCATAGCTATGTAACCTTTCATTCACTAAGGGGTCCAGTTACTTACCTATTATACTCTGCATTTTAAGAGTACCACTACTCATGAGCTTCTACTTCCATGGAAAAATTATCATTGTCATGCAAATAGATAGATTAACTTGGAACATGTTAGTGATCCTACTTGCCTAAATTACTTAAAAGATAACCAATTTTGTAAGTGGTTAGATTAGTTTTAAACCGTAGTAAGGTAATGTAAAGTAGCTATGAGGACAATCCCATTATTGTTTTCAATTATTTGTCACTGCTTTCTTAAGGTGTGATAAACTTTTCTGGTTTTGTTTTGCATGTGAGTGACAGATATATTAGTAACAGACATTTCACATGTGATTACTTTTTTGTGACATTGACATCATTTTTTAATCCATTGTTCATTTTCCACTACACAATGCTATCTTTTTAACTCACCTTGGTATTTATTTTGATAGATTATTCTTAAAATCAATTTGCAGTATTTATTTTGATAGTTTATTCTTAAAATCAATTTACAGTCTAATTAAGGATGAACAATTGTCATTTTTTTTAATAGTAACGCTTAAATTGACACAATGAAGTTAACAATCTAGTAAACACCAAATAGAAAATAAAAATGGAAAACTACCGGAAAATTACAGTAATCAGAAACAATATTGTAAGGTAACGTAACTGATATATTACAAAAACAATTGTAAGGTACCAAAATTTATATATATATATATATATATATATATATATATATATATATATATATATATATATATATAAAACATTGTTAAATGATATAAAAAAAGTTGTAAGATGCCATAAATGTTTAAAAAAAAATAAACATTATAAGGTACCATAACTGCGTGCACAAATAAAATTAAGGTTTCATAATTGATATAAAAAGAACATAGTAAGCTATATAAAAAAAACTTAATAAAGGTATCAAAATTTATATAAAAAAGCTTTGTGCAGAATATTAAAACTTGTAAACTCAAACTAAACAATTAATTTGAAGTTAGAGTTCAATAGAGTTTCTTCAACCATTTCTAAGTTTTGCCAATATTATTAGAGGGAGCACACAATCCCTGACTACAAACCTTTCCAAAACATCTCCTACGAAGGCATTACAGACACAACCTGGCAAGGACAGCGAAAAAGCAACACATCTCAATTTTATGATCTATTCTTCTTATTACTCAAAATATTACTTTCAATGTGGGATTTGAATAGAATAATCTGAAAAAGTATACGTATACCAAACTGAGGAGGATTTTTCCAAGTGTTCCCTTAGTATACTACAAATTGAATCAAGATTACCCCAATTAATTAACTGTAAGTCCAAAGGAAACATGACAATCCCATACTAGTTGAGTTCTCCGGTCTAGTATAAGACTTAAACTAAACCTGCTCCATTCTGCGAAATTGGTTGCAGCAAAACTATTATAAAATCATTATTCTCTTACTACTTCTTTTTTCTATTTTATGTCAATTTTATTGTATCCATTTAAAAAAATTATTTGATTATTACACTAGTTTCACTCTTTAAATGTCCTCCCAACATTCATTATCTAACTAACACAAAAGGTTATACTGAGATTTATATATAAAGTACTGTAGTATTATCTGGTTGGGAAAAGTGTAATGGGGCAGTGTAACTTGTTAAATTTAATTTACGTACATTGCAGTCTTAGTTCACTAAAGTTAAAGGACAAAGGATTTCATGTTAGAAGAATCTTGTTCTTATTTTGGAACAGATAACAACAGTTTTTATCTTAGGTTTAGTTATGTTGGCCTCTTCTAAGAACTAAGGTTGGCTACTTGTGTTCCATGTAGTTTAAGGGGAAATATTTACCTAATGAATCCCTGGACTGGTAAGATGAAGTTAAATGAGAAGTATGCTTATGTGATTGCATACATTGGAATTGCAGTGGACAGTGGAAGAAGCTGCTATAATAGCCCAAAGTAACCGAAAGACAGCTCAGGTCACTGTCTGTGTGTGATATTTTGCATTGTTCTGGGAAGTTTATGATAAATTTGGTTAAAATGAATTGAATCCATATACCACATAAGATTCAACAGAGGTGATGAGGCCCAAATGTAAGTGCATGCTCTATTAAGCAGAGTTGCCAAGAAATGAACAAAAAAAAATTCTACCAATTCTCTCCCTTTTCATATCTACTTGAGAATGCTTACCAAGAAAAAATAGACATGAAAATATCTTCATACAAGTCTAAAATGGCCAAGACAATATTTCATTTAAATCGAAATGTAGGTGAAGATGTGTTTGGTAAAGAATTAAGCCAAATTTTGCTTTCAACCAGTAACATCGTTCATGTACATAAAAAAATATACAAAAGTATATATGTTGATGGAAGATTTTGTAAAATAGTAGTGGTCATGTACAAGATTTTGGTGAAACGTGCAGCCAACGACCAAGTTGAAGCACCTCCAAATGCTTCACTTTGGCCATTCATTGGGGTCCAAAATTAAGATAACTTGCACCAACATTAAAAATACCTGTCCAATGGTTAGATTTAAAACCAAACTCATCACTTTGTTCAACTTTTTGTTTGTCAAGTGCTAAACATTCATTCACTATGATGAGATGAGGTTATAATTTGTGAATAAATTTCAAAAGGCTTCTCTTGGTCATTTACTAACGATCCTTGAATCATCCATACCAATGGACCAAAGGATTAATTTTAACTTTATTCTAAAGGCATACTTATTTGGTACAATTAGTTTATGATCAATAAGCTTCTCAAGTACATGCTCACCATTTTCCTCTGCTGTTTCCATTTTGACTAAACCCACCCAACCCACCAGAGAATTATATTCCTTTTCTTCATAACAGAATTCTCTGGGAAATGTTAAGAGACATAGCAAGCAATGTTTTTCAAGATGATCATAATTTTCCTCAATTACTTTCAACTCCTCAAGTTGTAGGCTTGAAGGGAGTGATGTGTTCACTTCTTCTGTTTGGTCGACCTTCAAATCTTGAACTGTTACTCCTGGTGGTCGAGCAGCTTCTATAGTAGCACTTGGGATTTGATCAGGTGGCAGCAAATGTTTTCTTCACCATGGAAAACAGGTCCTTTATCCTAATCAACTAAGACTGCAAAACCTTCAATTTTGCTTGTTTGTCTACAGTTACCAAGCGTTTCATGAGATTAAGGAAACAATGTATTTTTTTCTATAAAATTGAGGGACAGAGTGGTGTGAGATTTTGACACTATGAATCGATAATTAATCAAAGAAGCAATAAATTTTTGCAAAACATAACATTACCTTCTACCTAATTAGTCTTTCTACATTGCATATTGCTCAAATTTACCATTTATATGTAACGTGACATTCTAATTCATACTTGAATTCTAATAGGAGAACATTGAGACATGGAGTCTACACTTCATGAAAAATAATGAAAGAAACTATATATTTTTGCAATAATGATTATGAGACAGGGTGGAATGAGATTTAGATAGAAAAATTTTTACAATTTAGTTAACCTTTGCCATAAAACTACCAATACACAATCAGAAGCAAAGAATCCCCATACATGTTTAACATCATTTTGTTTCCCACAAACAACTGCGACACTTATTTATTTCAAACAAAGAACTATCCTTGCAGACTATGAGAAGAGAACCCATTGACAAGTATGACATCATTCTTTTTTCCCACGAAAAATTGCCACAGTGGTCCATCCTTTCTTTCACAAAGGGAATCCATTTCTTGATGATGAAGTAGAAGAATATCTATTTTTCAAGTTCATAATGCTGTAATTAATATCAAGTTTTTAGAGTGAATGATTTAGCAACATTCCCTTACTATTTTCAGAACCAATACCTTAGATTCAATAGGTTTCAGCCTTTAATGCCCTTGGCCAACTTAAAACATAATCTTAATTTGTTGGCCCAGTGTGTATAACCGGTTAGGGGATAAAGACTCCAGCTAGAAATCCAAATCATTTCTATATTTCCAAATGTTCCAACATATATAACTGGAATATCCTTGGACCAGTGTCACACCAAGATATATAACTTACTAAGATATTCTTGATTTCAGCCACCTTTAATAGAAGCAAAACAACATTAATAGTTTCAGCCTCATACCAATGTTGAATACTCACCTATGTCATACGTGTATATATTCAACATAATGTCTTACACTCATTCTCTAGTAAATAACACAAGAAATTGAAAGGAAGTCCAGATTGTTAGTTTTATATCCGAATCTATATGCCATATGAGAGACACTGATGCAGAATTTTTATTATGGAAGGAAATCTATTCATGAAAGCAAAAGACTGAACAAATAACACCACACAAAGTAATTCAGATAAGATACTATAAAAACTTAAAACAGATTCCGACCTTGAAATCTCAGTAACCTTGTAACATGAATGAACCATTCAAATTTGTGCTGACTCTTGTTGCAGAAAGGTGCTAAAAAAGTTGGTTGTTTAATGGAATTTTCGCATCAGTTTGACATCTAAAATTTTTTACACGTTTTTTTTTTTTAATTTTCTATTATTCTTAATGATATAGCTTCTCAGTTCTTTGTTTAGTAAACTAAGTCCGAATCACTGCGTTAAATACTGGTTTACCAGGTAACTACAGTGCTACCTAAAATCTCTTACTGTCATGCAGTAAAGCATGTAAAAAAAATGCCGAAATAGTAGCACTAGCCGTGTAATTTGTTCGGTTCAAAATCAAAGAAATAAAAATAAAAAGAACATGTTCAGTCTAAAGTCCTAAAAAATTATTCAAGAATAATGGCGTTTGGTGAAATGATCTTAAATTATCTTCAGATGTGGAAATCTCAGCATAAAAAACTTCGGAAAAAAGTGAAAATCTTAGAGCATACGAAATTGTCTATGGATCTTCTTCAACCTAAATGTGTTCGAGCTCTATCAAAGTGCAAAAACTAGTCTTGTATTAATCTAGCAGTTTAAAAAGAAAAATTCATCCTTACCGTAGCCAGCCAAGCTCCCCTCACATCCTCTTCTCCTTTAACGAGCATGTGGCTCTATGGTTTTCCTATCCCTTGTCTAATTCCTGATTAAACATATCGCTGATGAGCTTAGCTATTGTTCAAACATTTCATGCTCAATTAGTTTCAAAATCCACACAATAAAAGGAAAAATCTACAAAATAGTCTGAGACAACTTTAGGAAAACATCAAATAAGCTCCAACAATTTACCTATTATTACTTTATATGCAGCGCTGGCTAGTCCCCTAATAAAATTGGAAACAAGGCTTTCGAAAGGTTGACCAATAGGTTTCATGGAACCTACCATTTGGCAGCCTTCATCAACTCTGCACAACAGAAAGAATTTAACCTCTTCATCAATTCTGCACAACAGAAAGAATTTAACCTCTTCATGTGTATGTAGACTGTTTATTTGTCTGAAATATTGTAAGGTTCCACTCGTAATGAATGGACCAAAAGGTTTAACAATATTCAAACCCTATATTAAATATTGTAAGGTTCCACTCGTAATGAATAGACCAATCGGGCTAACATTTCTCAAACACTGTATTGATAGGGGCCGCGCGAACGCTGACCCCCTCTACCACAAATTATGATGTAGGCTCTGTCTCTAGGACAGACCTTAGAAAGACACCCCTTCAAAGTGCAATGAAGGTCATCTTCCTAGGCCATGACCCTTAATGATCAGCCATTGACCCCATCCAGGTAAGTATGTTGTAATGGGTGACACAGCTAAGTTTTATAACATATTCTTGAGTTCCTTCAACTTAGCGTAGTCAATGTGGGACTGGAGCAGAGGACTACGAAGGTTAAAATAAAATGGTAAGTTACAGTGCGTCTGAAAGAATAAGCTGTCCAATGGTCGATAGGATTTGCCTCTAAGCATCAAGCATTTATATACTACAAGTAGAATCAACGTTATATAACTTTAATTCCACAACAACAATTGAATTAAGTATCCAAATTCAAATAAATATGAAACATCTGTAGAAATTGTGTTCCTTTGAAAAAAAAAAAAAAAAAGGTCTATAACCCATCCTGTTCCATTCTGCAAAATTTTGTAGATGCAAACTACCATCACAAAAAGTAAATTGAGATCATTATTCCCTTATTACCTCTCTTCTTGTATTTTATTTAAATTTCATTGTATCTATTCAAAATATTTTTTGTGTGATTTTTACAATAGTCTCACTTTTTATACTTATACATCAGTTACTCAACAAGTGTTTTCCAATTCAGGAGTGAGAACAAGTGGCCAAGGTAGGGAGCTACACAAGAACTAAAACCAAAACAAAGTTTTTTAAATCTTAGCAAATTTAGAAAGAAAGTTATGCTCAGATAAAAATATAAAATGTTTTAGCAAACCAACACCTGCTTAAAGCATAAAAAATTGCATGTGTTGCAACTCTCAAACCTAAAAGCTAAAGGCCAAGAGATCTGAAGTTTGTACTTACTAATAATAGGCCTAAGTGGCTATTACATTACATTGTTACACTAAGTAATGATAGGCCTCTGATCCATTTAATACACCAGAAAAAATTTTAATTACTTTCCCATTTTGCCTTAACTAGATAGAAATGCAAAAGGGTAGACATTGATGAAGCTTCAGTGAAAAGTGAGAATGCTCAAGTCTCCCAAAGCAGTGACATCAAACAATGTCTTCAACACCACTTTCTATGTGTTAACTGCAAAGCAGTCTCAGTTACATTTTAGACTTGATATATAAGACATTGTCATTTGGTTGAAAAAGTTATAGCAGCATGACCAGATCAGCCAGTACACATGTCAAGTATCAATATAGGAGAAAATGTAACACACAAATTACCTTCTGCACATATTATAGTGTGAGTGCTGTTTGGTTTAATATTTGGAATTGTAAACGTGAAAAATGGAATAACAGGTGATTTTTTCAGTGTCTGCTTTTCATGTTCAAATGTGAATAATCTGGGTTACAAATTTGCAGTTATCAGCAAGATTGATACTTAACTTTTTTTTTGGTTGCAACTTCTGTACATTACTCTAATCCTGCACCTTTAATTATGTCATTAATTAAATATAAATATAAAATTATGTTTCAATGTTTTTAAGGTATTTAAAAAATATAAATATTAGTCTGGGGAGCTGGAGTTATTGATTAAGAAATTAAATATCATTGAAACGCATAAAACTATGTCTTTTTTATGATATTTTAATATGTTTTCAATTTTTTTATAATACGTATTGTAGGGTACTAGTTAAGAGGGTAAGAAAAAAGTAGTAATAAGAAAAAAAGTGGGGCTGGGTCTGCAAAAAGGACTTTTTTTTTTCTTCATTTTTTTCGATATGATTATAGATTATACAATCTAAAATATATTGTTGTTTTGGAATATTTTGTATAGAAAATAGTATAATTTTCCGAAATTCAGAATATATACTTTAGAATGGCTTTCACCACAATTCCATAATAATAATTCTAAAAAACATTTGAGACAATGTATAATCTTAAATATGTTTAACAATGTTACTAATTATACAATTCAATATACCCTTCCTTTCCTTATTTATTGTTCAGAATAATAATTTGAAAGTTTATATTTTATGGATATAAAAGAAGTATACTTGAAGGGTGAAGAAAGAAAAGTAGGGGTGTAAAGAAGAAAATTGAGTGGGTGAACCAAACCATATCATTCCCCATATATCTTCATCTTTCCGACACGTGTGTGGACAAGAACACCAATACAAAAGAACTGAAAGTTGCACAAAAGCTTGCTGTTTCACAACTCAACAACAATGGCTTCTATCTCATGCATCACCCACCACCCCATCACTTCGAAGCTCAACAATGTCTTCCCTTCACCTCACGTTTCTGCCTCAAACTTGGCCTCACGGTTTCTGGGCATAAAAAAAAGCGTTGGGTGGCTCAGCCTAACCTGTAGATTTGGCCCCTCCAACGGCTCCAAAACCACATGCTGGTTCAAGTTCGGCAAGAACGGTGTTGATGCCGAAGGTGCTGGCATTTATGGCAGCCAGGGTCGTGATGACTTTGACAGAGATGATGTTGAACAGGTTGGTGACTGAAGCTGTTGGAATTGTTAATTATTACAATTGTGTCATGCTTGTGCATGTGTTCATTGTTGTTTGTGTTAGGAAATTACATTAAGGGAGAGATAAGATGATTTTGTGTATGTAAGTTGTTTGGAAAATTTGAGCTTGTGCTTATGCATTGCTGGTATGTGTTGTTGGGGTGGCTTTAAGTGGAATATTTTATTTTCACATTAGGATTTTCCAATTTAGGTGAAGAGAAAAGTGAGTGCTTGTTCTTAAAGGGGTTAGGGAGTTAGATTGATGGGGTCAATTTGATAAATAAAGTGACATTTTGAGAACTAGTAAGTTTGTGAGGACAGGGAAACTGTTGTTGTGAAGGAGAATTCTTACTCTCATCCTTTGGTAGTTCAATAAGATTATTTTCCTCTACTGAGTTACTAAGGAATGATGATGATGTTTGTTGTTTGGAAATTTTAAACTTCTGCAACTGCTAAGGATTATGCTTATGTATTACTAGAATGTGTTCATGGAGTCACTCTAATTGAGAGTAATTTTTATCACAATTTTCTTCTATAAAGATGGAAAGGTGATTTGGGTTGGAATTGATATGATGAATAGGGTTTAACTCAGTCTGATATTTACCCAATTTTAACATGTAATTGACTCATAATCCACTTTGTTAGTAACATACCTTATAAACAATTCTCATACATAGAGAATGCAGTGACACTTGTGAACTCATCTTGCAGCATCTGCATTGTTGATTTGTATTCTTGAATCAATCAACATGCACATCATAATCTTATGCAGCACATTATAATTCACATTTCATAAATTTTGCAGTACTTCAACTACATGGGGATGCTGGCTGTAGATGGAACCTATGACAAAATGGAAGCTCTTCTAAACCTGAAAATACACCCTGTGGACATTCTTCTCCTGTTAGCTGCATCAGAAGGTGACAAGCCAAAAATTGAAGAACTGTTGAGAGCTGGAGCAAAATATGATGTGAAAGATGGAGATGGTAGGACGGCACTGGATAGGGCCAATGAAGAAATTAAAGATTTCATTCTTAATTTTTCAGTGCAAAGGGCATGATTGTTTGTGACCACTATAAGCCAATTCAGCTTCTTAGTTATTTACATTTTGATAACTTTTGAACAATGTTAGTTAATATGCTTTGGATTGATCATGAGAATGAAGCTTGTCTCGGTAGTGACTAATCACTAAACTTAATCAAGTTATAGATGTTCAGAAGAGTTTTAAATAAAATATATTATTTTGCGTGTATCTCGTAGTTAGAATTACTTAAAACGGATTTGTAATAAAATAATGTCCGATTATTTATATAAACAATATTGATCCGTTTTAAATTGTCCGTTTTGTAATAAAATAATGTATTTTCTTAAGAATTTTTCTAAGCGATTCTCTTTACGTACGTTCTTATTGAAGAACACATAATAATATTGAAGAACACATAATAATACAGGATTATGCTTCAAATTAAATATTTAAAATATCTTTTTTGTAATTTTTTTTATCTTAACTTTTTTTTCTTTTTATATACAACTTCTACACCTTCATCTGTGAGGATCTTCATTTGATTTTTTTGTGCTATCAACTTCATTAAAGGTATTTTTTATCAATTAAAGATAAGTAATCATTAATATTATTTATGAATTATATGTTTCTTTACTTAAATTGTACAAATCAACTCAAATTTTCAATCTAAAATAGTAAGGGTTGTAAATATATAAATAAATATACTAAATGATCATTAAGTTTGAGGGGATAAAATCATATATTATATGAAAGTTAGAAGTGATGAGAGAATAAAATTGTAAATATACAAACAAGTAAATATATTAAATGATTATTAAGTTTAAGGGGGTCAAAATCATAAATTACAGAGGAGTTACAAAACTTTGGAGGTCATGGCCCTCCTCAGTTCCCAATAATATCCGTCATTGAATAAGGATAAAATGGGGTTTAATTTAATTATGGAGTGTAAGAAATTATGGTGGTGCAGGAAGAAAGAGCCAACAGTATAATGCTAGCACAGCGGCCCAACCCACTTACAGGCCCATCCGGATTACACAAAAATCAATAGGGTCATTTTATCTGCACTCGCATATATTCCTTTTGCACCTCGTATTTATCCAAAAAGATGAAGTTTTCTGAAAATATTGAATCTTTATGGCAGCGTTCTAAAATTAACTTTTCAAAAATATTTTAGATTAGCTTTTCTGAAAAAAATTTGGAAACAGAATCAGTTTTTCGAAATTATTTCGAATCGATTTTTTTAGAATAATGAACTTATATTTCGTAAAAAATCATTAACTTTTCGGAAATTTTCAAGAATTGTAAAATTATATTCTGGATTTCATAATTTGAAATTTTAGAAAATTTTATATTTTGAATTCTCATTCATCTAAATTTTTTTTCGGATTTTCAATCCAAAATACTCTAATCAAAAGGTTTGGAAGAACGAATCAAAAGCTTTAAAAGTATCTTTAATTGTGTGGTGATTTCTCTTTGAAATTCATTAGTCACAAACTCGATACATAGGTTAAATTTGATTTTGGATTATAGTGGATCGGATAAAAAAACCCATTAATCCATTTTTATTCATTAAAATTGTATTGAAAAATTGATCTTTGTTTGATGCACTTAGTAAAATTTTAATCTATTTCCTTTATATAACAATTTTTCATGCATAGATGATATTCAATTCATTCATAAAAAAAATATTGTAAAAGGAATATTTTTTAAAAAAGGTTTTCAAAATAAAAGTTGTAAAACAAATTAAAAATGTATTTTTGAAAACTTAAAATAAAATTGAAGAAAAAAAATTATTGGAATAATATTAGTCCTTTTAAAGTATTGATAAGACGGTTTATTACAATTTGAGAAATAACGGATGAATTATTAATCATCTTTGAAATTAAATATACTTATATTCTATTCAAATTATGTTTCTTCTTGATAAAAAAATCCAAACTTAGATAATATATCATCTATATATATATATATGTATATATATATATATATATATATGTATATGTATATATATATATATATATATATAATGATGTAATCTAATCCATACTTTCACTAATGTTAAGTCTTTAAACAATAATTTATATGATATGTTAAAATATATTTATTTATTAATCTTCAAAATATTTTTTTTTACCATTTTGTTAAGTAATCATTTTAATTTATATATAATGAACTATTTTTAAAAGACAAGTGTTTTCAACAAGGACATTCTTGACCAGGTGTTTAATTTTAAAACATTTTGTGAACTAATTACCCTATATATAAAATTTAAAATGAATATTACAAAAAGTAATAGCTATATCTTACAATTCATAATTAAATTATAATAGAAAAACCTTCATACTTTTAACACAATCTTAACAAATTCAATTATTAGCATACATGCAAGCTTATTAGTTATATATACTAACCTACTTAAAGAAAGTGTCACTTGTCAAGAAAAAAAGGGATTTTCTTGTAAAAAATATTTGGAACCATATTCAACAATAAATATTAATTCATGGGTTTGATATTGAATTAGGTTTCCCAAATTTGTTTCCTATATACGTCCTATAGGAACATGTTAAATTTTGGAGACCAAAATTAAATTCAACTCTTAAAAATAGGAACATGCATGGAGTACTTTGGAAGCATGAAAAAAATCCTAATTGAATAATACATTGTTAATAATTTGATATAAAAATATATTTTATAGATTCAAACAATAAATTAAAATTTCATATGGCTATTTGTGCCAAATTTTATTAAAAATGAATAATAATAACAAACTGATAAAAAATTATGTTTAAATATATTTTAATATATATATATATATATATATATATTAACTTTAATTTATATAAATGAGACATCAAATAATTTTTATATTAGAATTTTTGTTTATACAATTTATTTTGAAAAGAAAATTAATCTAATAGTTAGATTAGAAAAACATTATCCACTTGAAATGTATACATTAACACAATTTTGAAGTATTTTATTATATTAGAAGTTAGATTAGGGTTGGAAGAAGAAAGTTTCCATTTTTATTTATTTTAATAAAATTTGATGTTTTGATATTAATAAGATGCGAGTAAAACAAGTTTTAAAAAAATAATTAATTATATTTAATTTTTATTGAAAATTAATAAAATACTAAAATATTTTATTTTAAACTTAAATAAATAAATTTCACTTAGCTAAAATTATAAAAGAAAGTAATGTCACTCATCAAAATTAAAAAAACATGAAATATATATATATATATATATATATATATATATATGCATTAATATATAATATAATATAAAATTTTAAAAATATTTTATTAAAATTTAATAAAATGAGTTTTTTATTATTTTTTAAAATAAAAATATTTACAATATTTAAAATATTATAATTTAATAATTAGATTTAAAAAAATTATGAAATAAATTTTAAGGTGTTACAAATATTATTATTATCTTATAATTATTTTAAAAAATTAATATTTATTTTAAAATATTTAATTTGACTAATTATCGTAATTCAATTTTATTATAATTAAATTAAAATATTAAATAAAAATAATTTTAACTCATAAATATTTGATATTTTTTAATTAGATGAATAATTATTTATTATAATAAAATAAATTAAAATTAATTAATTAATTGTTATTTTTATAAAAAAATTATTATTATCATATTAAATAATTATTTAATATTTTTTGAAATTTTAATTTAATAAATTTAATTATAAGAAAAGGTTGAAGGTATAGATTTAATTAAAAAAAAGTTAAAAGATGAGAGAAGAACCAAAATGCGAGATGAAAAGATTAAAGAAATTAATTAAAAATAAAATAAAATTTGTCAATAAATTTTAAAATAAGTTTAATTAAATAAATAAATTTATTAAATTTTATTCAAATAACTTTTTAAAAAATATATTATTCATAACATTCATTACTTAAAACATAACTTTGATAAAACTTATACTTCTAATTTTCTATCACTTGTTTTCTAATTTTGGAGTTTATGCTCTCATTTTTCTTCATATTTATTTTCTATTATTAAAAGCAAAAAGATAAAAACCTTTTCCATGATTAATGACTATATAGACAATACATAATAATTATATTTGAAGAAAGTTGGTACATCAAATAGTGCCCTTTATATAAAAGATGCATACAAGTTATGAAATGATTCAGACCAAACCTATCAAATTTGGACATGCATGCATGCATGTTATTCTTCGCTATATTTTAACACTGAAAATGGAAGAAGTGTTGCACCTTATTCCTTTATCTATATATATATCTATATATATATATATATATATATATATATATATATATATATATATATATATATATATATATATATATATATATAGTACTTTATAATCTTAAAAAAAAAAAAATTCAGATCTATCTACCAACTAGAGTAAAAGTATCTTTTTATAGCAAAAATATGTAAATGAAAACAAAAATAATACTAACTAGCCCACAACTTGAGATCAGAATATTTTTCAATTGCTATATTTATACTATAAGAGGAGTTCCCTTTAATCTTTATTTTGTTTTATTTTATGTTTATAATATAATATTACTTTTATCAAATATATTATGTATAAAAGAAAAGAAATAATAAAATAAAACATTTATTATATAGGTACAATACAATGTTTCCCCGCTTAAGGTGACCCTCGAGTTCATTTACTTACATTTAAGAAATAGTAAAAAAAAACAGAGAAAATTTTTGTAATATATATAACGAGTTATAAAGGAAAATAATATATTTATTTTTTAAAAATTAATTATATAATGTAGATACGTAAACATTAAAGCGCATGTCTCCACTAGTTAAAATATCTAAATATATATTATTTATTGCATTATGTTTTAGTTTAATTTATATATATATATATATATATATATATATATATATTTTATTCCATGAGAATTTAAAAGAATGGGAATAAGAAAAAAAAAAAAAAAAGAACAACACAACACACTTTCTAGATTCACAAGGATAAATTCCTTGTTATCGTAGCCACCCTTTTCTATTTTATTATTTTTACAATCTTTTTCTTATCTTAAAAGCAGTCTCACACACACAAGTGACAAGATGCTTAGCAAATGCCGACAAAAACACGTATAATATATATATATATATATATATATATATATATATATATATATATATATATATATGACTTGTTACTCCTTTTAACAAAACTGTCCCTGCCTCGATTTACAAGATTACCCCTACAAGACTCTTCGGAATCTCAGAAATATGAGTCAACTGCCCTTTCCTTTGTTTGTGGTCCTGCACTAATAGAAAAAAAATATTTTTTCTTAAAAATAAAGAAAATAGTTTTTTTTTATAGGTTTTGATATTGAGAACGCTATATATAGGAATGTAAAAAAAAAAATTGGTGGATTAAAAATATTAATTGGATATATTAAATGAATATCTATTATTAATATTTTAATGATTGGTTAACGGTATACATGAGTATCATGTAGTTAATCCGTAGATATTTGTTAATTATTATTATTATTTATTTTTTAAAATAATATTATTTATAAAAAAGATTAGTTATTAAAAAATTATTTAGAATTAAAATTTATATATTTATATTTTGTATTATAAATTATTTGAATTAATATTTTATAAATATTAATTTTATTTGATTATATTTAAACAAAAATAAACAAAATAAAAAATATCTGCATATATCCATAAAAGCTTACGAATATAAAATAAGTTAACGGATTAAGTAGTGAGATGGGTAAAAGATGAATATTTTCTATCATTACCTTCTTTAAAATTTGACTTAATTTTTATAAATATTTAAAAATTATAAACATATATCAATCCCAAAATCAATCCTCAAATCCAATCTAAATTATTATTTTGATAAAAAAATCTCATTAGTCACTCACAATTATATATATTATTTACAATACCTGAACTGAACATTTATTTAAAGAATTCAAATTGGTATGTTAATCAGTTTAAACTAACTAAACTTATGGACATTTTTCCTTAATTTTATTCAAGATTTATCCTAATCATTATTTTCTGAATAATGAATAACTATTAAAGTAATATACACTATAATTAAACTGTCGAAGTAGGTGAAACATTAGTTGACATTTCCTAAAAAGTTTCTTGCCCTAAAGCTAGTATTTTTAAAGCGCGCAATGAAGCTGGGACTAGAAATATATTATATGAAAATTAAAAATATAAACTTTAAAAATTTAACCAAGAGAATTTTTAACAATTAATTCTATATTATGAAAAAATTAATCAAATTATTATTATTTTTTGTTATAAATCAAACAATTTCAAGTTTAAGTCCTGGAAATATTATTGATTAAAAAAGCCATCTGAAAAGCTTCATTGTTTATTCTGTCAAACCAAAAAGAGAACATCAATTTTCGGCCTCCACATTCCTATGGCAAACATAGGAACCAAATAATAATTTAAACATATTGAATGCACAAGAATTTATGCCTGGTTGATGGGACCAAAGTAAAGGCACACAGAAGCAGTGGAGTTGTAGAGAAAAGGAAGAAGAAGAAGAAGCAAACACCAGTTTTTCATGGCCAAAATCATTGGCAAGAACAGAAGAAGAACAACTCAACTATGCCACAGAATGGTTCATCATGTGAGCCTCCACTGCAACTTGTTCCATAGGGTGTCCTTTCTTGGCCGTTTCATCTGGGACAGGATCTTTCTCTGCTCTCTTGGAAGGCCTTCAACTGCCCCTTACCTCAGACTGCCCCTCCGTGAAACCCCGCCGCCGGCCACCGACCACGGTAGCTCTTCCCTGCATGGACAACCTATCACCACCCCATGTGATTCTGACTCTGATTTGGTCAACCTCAAGATCAGTTTGCTTGGTGATTGCCATATTGGAAAAACCAGTTTTGTGGTACTTGTCTTATCTTTTTTATTTTGTTTCTTCCTAACTTTAGTTTCACGTTTCATTCATCTGAAAATGGGTAGTGTTAGTTACTTTTGCTTGTTGATTGTCATATTGGAAAAACTAGCTTTATGTTTAATTTGATTTCTTCCTAGCTTTTGTTTTATTTTTCATTCATCTAAAATGGGAATTAGTTGTTTATGCTTGGTGATTACATATTGGAAAAACAAGTTTTGTGGTACCAGTTTTAAGTTTTAATTTAATTTCTTCCTAACTTCTGTTTCACTTTTCATTATGGGTTTTTTCTATTTTCCATTGGGAATAAATATTGATAATTAATCAGGCATAGTACTAGTTTAATGTACAAGATTTATTTGTCACTAACCCTTTTGGCCCCAGAAATTTGGGAGGAAAAAGTGATTTTTGTCATTAATTTTTTTACAGATCAAGTATGTAGGGGACGAGCAAGAAAAGAGGAGCTTGCAGATGAAGGGACTTAATTTGATGGACAAAACATTATTTGTTCAAGGAGCTAGAATTTCGTTTAGTATTTGGGATGTTGCAGGTGGCTTTATTTAGTTTAACTTTTAATTTTTCTTTGAATTTTAACTTTCTGTTATGGCTTCTCTGGGCTTGTAACTTTGAGTGATGTTCTGATGAACTACTTTGTGCTGGTTTATGCAGGTGACACAGGGTCTCTTTATCAAATTCCAATGGCTTGTAAAGATTCAGTTGCAATTTTGATTATGTTTGATCTCACCAGTCGTTGTACACTGAACAGGTAGCTGTTTGCTTCATGATCTGTGGAACATTTTGGTAGCAAAAATGCAAAGATAATTACTTTTTTTTTGTGTTAACTTTGGTTTTCTTTGCAGTGTTGTTGGGTGGTACAGTAAAGCGAGAAAGTGGAACCAGGTACCAAAATTCAATTCCACATGGTGAATAGTTTTGAGATTACATGAATTCATTGTGTGTGGTACAGATAATTAATACCTTCACTGATTCAAGTTGGTTAGAAATTCTTTTCACATGGAAAAGCTTTGAAATAGTACATAAGGACAGTGCACATGTATTATTTTCACAAAGCTTTAATGACCCTCATGATTTAGGACAAATATCTGGTGTGAGCTTCTGATTAACACCAAACAGAGAACAATATCTATCTATTGATAAAGATTGCGTGTAGTAATGAACTTAATAACCTTTATTTTGCTGCATTTCTTCTATTTTGGTAGTTTCTGATGTTCATTTTATTCACTTGCAGACTGCAATTCCTATTCTGATAGGAACCAAATTTGATGACTTTGTTAGACTCCCCCCAGATGTGCAATGGACAATTGTAACACAGGTAGTAAATATTTATTGCTAAGTAGAAGATTTAAGATATGTTTGGAAAAATCTAGATTAGTAATGTTCAAATTTCATTACTATTTTGAATAAAGTGTTACTTTCTGTCTTAGCCTTTGTTCCAAAATTTTGACTTGGTGATGGTGCATACATTCAGGCAAGGGCATATGCAAGGGCAATGAAAGCTACCCTTTTCTTCTCAAGTTCAACACACAATATAAATGTCAACAAAATCTTCAAGTTTATCATGGCCAAGCTCTTTAACTTGCCATGGAAGGTGGAACGAAATCTGACACTAGGAGAGCCCACAATTGACTTCTGAGATGTACTTCACATTGATTGATATGTAAATAGCAGGTAAGAAAAGAAAATTTTAGAAGAAGAAAAAAATCCACTAATATTCACTACTCTTTCTTTGTAAAGTTCATCACCTAGAAACCTAATTCACCTATCTTCTTTGGGTCAATTTAACTATGTATGGGTGAGAAGGGTGTGATTGAGTTTTTCCGGTTATGTTTGAAACGAAAAGTAAAAAGGCAAACAGAAATTATAAATGGTATTGGATCATCACTTATTTATGATTTCCACTAATATTTATAGAATATGTAATTAAATGTAATTAATTATTTTATCTTATATTCTAATACATTCTTCATTATCATGTGAAACATGCATAGATCTTATTAAATGTAAGTCTTAGTTCTTATTTAGAGTATCATTACTTATTTAACTAAATTTGCATATATCATATTCAATTATAAAGAATGTGTAATAATAAAAAAAAAAGATGTAATGAACACATATAAGGGTTAAGAATAATTGAGTTTGATATTATAAAAACTACACCACATAATTGGATGTGTATGCCAGTAGTAACATGGTGATCAAAACATTGTTTGCTTTTCTAAAATGTTAGGAAGCATTTCAATGAATGTTAAATGAACACCCATGCAACAGAGATGTTGGAAATTAGAAGACTGAATGAAATATTTGGTAAAGTTTACAGGAACTATACTGTGCAGTATAGATCTAAAACATTTGGAGGAATGATGGAGGGATGTCATGCATTGAAAAACATATAAAAGGAAAATTTCTTAAAAAAGTTTATTTATATATATATATATATATATATATATATATATATATATATATATATATATATATATATATATAAAGATAGAGAAATAGAAAAAAGGAGAAAAAAAGTTCATTAATAATATTTTGCCAAAAAGTCCAAATAATCAAAAATAGGAATATTTGGCCAAAAAAAGTTATCGAATTAAAAAAAACAAATTAGAACAGTGTGGGAAAAATGAAAAAAGTGATAAAATATATGTAAAATAATAATAATAATAATAATAATAATAATAATAATAAAAGGAGTAAAATTTGATGTTTATAATTTTAAAATATAAAGTGTAATAATTAGATTGAAAAATTGTTTCAACCTCAACAACAAAATAAATCTATTAGGCTCTATAGTTAAGTTAACAAAATATTTTACACAAATGAAAAAGAAAAAAACTAAAAGCATATTTGAATTGTTATATCAAGACAAAAATTAGTAAAATTAAGTCCAAGATGATTAAAAAAAAAACACTTATGATTAAGCTACAAGTGCAACTACAACTTTATAACATTTAAGAAATTTTTTTAGTTTCACTTATTATTTAGTTTCTTATCTCTATAACATGTTTGTCTATTATTCTTTTGTTGAAGATTAGAATTGAAGAATACCTTATAAGTTTATTGACTAATTTTATTTTTTTTAATATTAAGAGTGAGATTAGATAGAATGAAATTGAGATGAAATAAAAGAGGAAGAGATATTAAGGAGTAATGATCTTAATATATATTATTTTAATGTACTTAGTAACTTTGTCACAACTTTAAAAGTATTATACTCCAGTCCCACATGAAAAATATTAGTTTAAGCAACAAGAATAATAGGCTTTAAAATGAGATATTCTACTCATTTAAACATACTTACCTGGACGGGTCAATGGATGATCATGAAAATCCATGACCTAGAGTAGTGACTTTCATTGCACTTTGAAGGGGTGTTATTTTAAGGTCTATTATATTGATAGAACCTACGTCATAATTTGTGGTTGTGGGGAGTGTGTGTTCGCACGGCTCCCTTCTAATGAAATTTAAGTTTTTTCATATATTTTCTCTTTATTACACTTATATTTGTGAATGCAGTGCTCCCTTCTAATTACATTTTTTTCATATATTTTTATTTTTTTACAATTATACTCATGGTTTCGGTTCATTCTAATAAATTCTAATAAAATGTAAGCTTGTTGTATATTTTTATTTTATTACAGTTATACTTGTTTAATTTGATTTATTGAGTTTTCTTTTTGATAATTTTTTTTTCACTTTTTATCACATTTTATTATTTCTTTCCTTAAATATATAATATTATTATATTTTTCTGTTATATATATATATATATATATATATATATATATATATATTATAATGTAGATAATGAGACACTTTTTCTCTCTTTTTTTTAATACATAATATTATAATAATATGTACACATTCTTTTTTATTCTCTCTAATTTTTTTTTCACTCATTGTAACTATGAGAATGGTGTAATTGAGTTTTTTTAGTTATTGTTGTGTTTCACAAGAAAAGTAACAAGTTTAAAAGAAATTATAAGTAATTTTGTATCACTGATTTATGATTTCCACTAACTTTAATAAATATGTAATTAAATATAATTAATTATTTTATTTTTTATTTAAAAACTTTGATATTTTATATTCGAGCACATTCTTTATCAAGTGAAATATGTGTATATATGTAAATCTTAATTTTTATTTGGATTTTCACTATTTATTTCACTACAATTACATATATCATTCTCAATAATAAATAATGTGTTATATATATATATATATATATATATATATATATATATATATATATCTAATCAACATATATAAGAAATAAGAATAATTGAGTTAGATATTATAAAAACTATACCACACAAGTGTCTTGTCCAGGTAACTATTACTAATAATAACATGGTGTTCAAAACATGGTTTGCTTTTATAAAATGTTAGAAAATGTTTTCGATAACAAATTGTCTCTTCATCAAGACACTGATTTAAAATTTAATAATTCAAATAGAGTTGAATTAGATTTAATAAATAATGATTAAATGATATAATATTATAATTTATAATACGAAAAATAAGAATGTAATTGTATTTGATTCTAAACTCACAAAATAAAAAAAATGAAAATTAACATAAATATAGAATTATATGAAAATAAAACATAAAAATACAAATTAATATATAGATGACTAAACTATGTGTTTTAAAACATAATTATTCTTCTATTACTCCTTAGACCCTACAAAATTCTTGACCCCCATATGTGGATTTTCTCAACATGGGCAACCAAGATTTGGAAAGGATGCATCTTCTCACATCACCCATCATCCTTGAATTGAAATAAGTAAAGAAGTGATTGATGTGAATAATAAGTCAGGATTGTTTGCCAAAATCACTAGATTAATGTGATGGGGTTCTCACCAAGGTTGCCAGAGACAAATGAAAAAAGAAGAAGAAAAAAACATATTTCAAAATTTTAAAATTATCATGCATGTTTATTTGAAATTTATCCTAGTTTATATCAAATAATTGAATTCTTTTTTATTAATTTGATTTTTTTTATTCTAGCATAATTTTTGAATTTGAAACTTATAAATATATTGTTATATATATTTTTTAATTTTAGAATAGATGAAATTCAATAAATAATTATAATAATAATAATTTTTATTAATAAATATTTTATTAAAATATAATTCAAATATTAAATATTTTTAAACCATGAGTAAGTGTCGTTATAACGCAAAAAAAAAAACAACCTTTGATTTAATTTATTGAGTGATTTTTAGTTAAGTTTTTCTTGTGTAGGTTAAATGAGATTGAATGATCTTAAAGTCATTCAAGAACTAATAATAATAATAATATTATTATTATTATTATTATTTCATAATTTCACGTATTGAAAATTTTCAAATAACTAGCATTTATGTCAGAATTATGAGCATCTCACAATTTTATCAACACGTTTTTCATCATTTTTATCGTAATCATTTTTGGTAAACCCGAACTAAAATGTGTGACATTGGAGCAGTTGAACATTTCAGTTCCAAAGATAAGGTTGAGGCCAAATTTGAGGTAGAAACATGTGGTGATGACAAATCATTGAACTTAAAAGTGGATTGATGGATGATTGAAATTTGAAAATCAAAGTTATTGATACTATTGAATAATGAATCTATGTAGTAGTCCCTCTCCCCTAATTTAGATTTAGAATCATGATAGTCTTTTGAACAAAACATGGTATAAGTTGAACAATGTTCTATATTTCAGTTGATAGTGAGGTGTAATTCACATTGATTTATGTGTAAATAACCAATAATAAAAGAAGATTTAGAAGAAAAAAGTTCACTAATATTCTCTTAGAAGTTCATTGCCAAGAAACCTAATTCATCTATCTACTTTGGGTCCTTTTAATTACGTAAGAGTGAGAAGGGTGTGATTGAGTTTTTTCTGACATTGCTATGTTTCAAACTAAAAGTAATAAGTCCAACAAAAATTATAAATGGTATTTGATCATAGCTTATTTATGATTTCCACTAATATTGACAGAATATGTAATTAAATATAATTATTTTATCTCATATTTAAAAACTTAGATTATCTTATTATTCTAAATCATTCTTAATTATCAAGTGAAACATATATAGATCTTATTAAATGTAAGTCTTAGTAAAAACAGAAAAAAGGAAAATTTATTAAAAAAAATTATATATATATATATATATAAAGATAGATAAAAATAAAAAAGTGCATTAATAATATTTTTCCAAAAAGTCCAAATAATAAAAAATAGGAATATTTGGCCAAAAAAGTTATCGAATTAAAAAAATTCAATTTTTATTAAAAAGAAAATTACAACGGTGGGAAAAATGAAAAAAGTGATAATATTTAAAATAATAATAATAAAGAGTAAAATTTGATATTTATAATTTTAAAATATGAAGTGTAATAATTAGATTGAGAAATTGTTTCTGCATTAACAACAAAACTATTAAATGATGATATAAATCTATTAATCTCTATAATTTAGTTAACAAAATATTATAAACAAATGAAAAAGAAAAAAAAACTAAGTACACATTTGAATTGTTATATCAAGACAAGAATTAATAAAAATAAATTCAAGATGATAAAAAAAACACTTATGATTAAGCTGCTGCTATAAACAAGTTGTAGCATATTAAT